CCGCAGACCCCGGCGGGCCCCGCGCCTGCGCTGTTTCCATACTGGGCCCCCCCAGCCATTCCGCGCCTGCGCTCTCCTTTTCCCTGGCGAGTAGGCCGACCCGCGGTTTGTCCAGTGGACCCACGGGACCGTGGAGTGCCTCAGCGAGTTTTGGGCTCCGGGTGGTTGTGGGTACCGCGCCTCCGCGCCAAGAAAGAGGCTGCGTGCTACCGTCTCACTTTGCTTTCCCAGTGCTCCTGTAGAGACTGGGACCACCGCCCGGTAGCTCTGGTTCTTTGCCCCGGTCTGGAGCAGCGCTCCTCCCGGCTCCTGAAAGCTCAGCGCGGGGGAGGAGGGACCGCGAGCGGCGGGTCCCGGTGGTGCGGCGGTCACTGTGTCTGAGGGGCTGCGCCGCGCTTGCTGGGGAGGGCATCTCGAAGGAGGAAAATTTTTCTTTATTGTTGATACCTGGTTAATTGTATCAGATTGAATAAGAAAAATCCAGTTAATTGCTGAGGAAAGTTTGCATTTTCAGCACTAGTTGTCGTTTCAGTAGTTAAGTTGAAGATATCATAGTTAAATTTTGAGCAGCCCGTTCTGGAGATGACTAAAAAAGGGAGAAATCAGTTTCCAGGTAGGTTTAGCTTGTTTATAAAAGCAAATTCTTGTGGTCGTTCAAGTCTAGGGAACTTTTATTTGTTGATGCCCTTGTTAATTTGTTCTCAAGTACAGGAAGGGCCAGTAAAAAATTTAAATTCGCTTAGTTGATGACAGGGAAAAATCGTTTTGTTGTGAAGAGTATCTCAAACCATTGAGTGGTTTCTTTCCTAAGTTTACAACAGATATGGGAATCTTTAAAAATATTGTAGAGCCCAACAATTTGCTGCCACTTGGGAGGGATGGATCTTGAGATGAATTCAGAGGTGTGGTCTTGGCAGACATCAGCTTTTTTTTCTGAAAATTTGGGGTGAAAAGATGCAGTTTTGCCGATATAGATGGTACCAAAGGGACCGTGGTTCAGTCGGTTCTCTTTCAACCAATCAGGGGTGGACAGTTTTTGAAAAAATGCATTTGTACTGAGCGTGCACAAACTTTTTTTCCTTGTCATCAGTGTCTAAACGATAAAGTATAACAACTATCTATTTAAAAACCCTATTTATATAGCATGTTAAATCTGTAGTTCATATTGTTGAGTTGTCTAAAGAGGACTTAAAGTATCCTGTAAGGTATAGGCAGGTTATGTGCTAATACTTTGCTGCTTTACCATCCAAATCTTTTGGTATCAGCAGATCCTGGATACTGAGGGTTGACTATATTTTTATTTTATTTATTTATGTATTTATTTTGGGGGGGTACAGGGGTCGAACGCAGGACCTTGCGCTCAAGCGGTGGAACCACTGAGCTAACTCCCCGGCCCCCTGACTATATTTTTTAAATCATTAAAACAAATTAGAGAAAATAGACACATGTGTTATAAAATAGCCAAATCAATACAAAAGGGATATGGTGAAAGAAAGAAATAAAGATTTGGTCTGGATAGAAATTTTGTAAGAATTTTCTGGTCCAGTAACTTTTTCAATAAAAATATCTCATTTCCCCCTTTGATTTAATATACACAAAGTGGACTCTGAGCATGTTTAGATAGCTGGAGAATGCTTTGTAATGCTTGCCTGTGTATAATCCAGGTACAGGGCTTTCTTTGACATTCATTTTAAGTAAGACAGTGATTGTTGTGCCATAGAAAGCACTATGTGCTTTGGTAACAGTCCAGATACCCGAGTATCAAGTATAGTATCATAGTGAATGGAGAGTAGCTGCAGTAGCTGTGGTTAAGGTGGAGTCTGTATTAGAATTTCTATTCCCGACTGGAACTTTTAGGATGTGTGTCTGCACTGTTGTCTTGACATGTGATTTCTCTGAAGCAAAGGTTCTTCTTTTATAACTGACTCAACATAGTATTTGATCAGATGACTCAGGTGGTAGTATTGCGTAGGTTCATAATTACCTGTACTATCAGAGTTGGGATTTCTTAATGCATAGGAGTTGCCATATAACCATCTACATATTTAAATCACAGAAGCAGCTTGCCCATAGTGGTACACGAACTCCTCAGCTCAGTAGAGCAATGGTGATAGTGCCAGGAGGCTGAAGAGATTCTCTTCTTGGCTTTCTAGCTTTGGGCAAGTCAGCTTTCCTTTCTGGATTTTCATTTTCCCATCTGTAATGTTTGGGGACACAGAAAGGAGCCTGAGATGCCACCACACGGACCTTGTCTACAAAATCTTCTGCCAGTCTTCTACAGTTCTTCTCACCAGTTCCATGACACTGTAGTCTCTCCTCAAAGATGGGAGGGGAGGGATGGGTGGTGTTATGAAGTTGATGAGAATAAATCTCAGATACTATGGAGTCAGGCCTGTCAGACGTTGAATGACTTTACAGGAGAACAAGGAGGATATGGGAGTTTTTCATAAAGCTAAATTTACTCCAAGGCGCTGTCATTTCTAAAATGTGTCCTAGTTTTTTCGTGTTAAAATGATGTATTCCGCTGGGTATAATCATGTTGTGTGCCAGTCATCCCAGGTACTTGAGAGGGTGAGGGATTGCTTGAGCCAAGAAGTTCAAAGCCATACCCAGCATTGAAAAGAAAGGAAGGCAGGCAGGCAGGCTGGCCTAAATAATTTTGGGATGCTGAGGGAGAGGGATGGCTTCAGTCTTTTCCAAAATGAATATAACAGATGATCTCTGTGTCTGTGAAGCCTTTAAAATTCATGGTGGTTTGTTCTTAATCCCAAATAAGATTGTGTTATAGAATCATGCTCTGAAAAAATTGCAGTGGATCAAAATGTACCAAAGCTACATTAAAATTTCTTGAAATGAAGCTAATAGTGTAACCAATAAACTTAAGAAAAAATAGTGTAACCTCTTAGTTCTTCATAATGCTAATTTTTACATTGTAAGGACCAACCCCTCTCAGCCTCCTCTGAGGTCTCCATTTTTAAAGGATAATTTGGCAATTCTGTAAAATAAATCTGAGAGAAAAGAGTGGTAATTTTTTAACAGTACTTTTCCTATTCTTTTCCCCACATCTACATTGTTCTTTATTTTTTAGTTAAATCCAGGGGTTTGCTCATACCATATTTTTTCAAACTGCTAAACTGTTCACAGTCACTCTCCCATTTAAAACCATTCTGCTCTTCCTCTACGTTTGTACTAAGGTCTCCTTAGCTTGGATCCAGGATACTTCGTTACAGGGCTGTGGTTCGGCCTCATGTTTTCCTCACCTCTGTATAAGTGTTTCTCTGATCTGTGCTGAGCACCTCTTGGTCCCTTGAAATTTTTTATTCTGTCTCCCTCTGCTGGAATGTTTTCTCACTTCATCAGATTGTCACCTTGAAAATTTAGGTCAGATACCACCTTGTGTGGAAGGCTTCTCTAGCTCTCTAGGTTCCTGCAGACTTGTCCAGCATCCTGTACATTTAAGATTTGGCACACCGTGTGTCTGCTGCCGCTACTAGACCGTGACACTGCAGTGTGTAGCAGGATGTATAGCTTGATTGAAAGTTGTTGAATCTGCTGAGCGCTGGTACAGTGTTTGGCATGTCACTGCACTTGGTCCTTGCCCTTAAGGAGATTTCACTCTAGTTGTACTCTGTGAGACACATCCTAGGAGTGTATACCAACTTTCAAAGTCTATTTAATGGTATCTTAGTGTTGAATTCGGAGGATTTTTTTGTGTGTTTGTTTTGTTTTTACTTTTTTGGTACTGGGGGATTGAACTGAGAGCTTTCACACTGAACTAAACCCTCAAATTTTAAAAAGTTTGTTATTTTGTTTACCATGGTGACATACACCTATAATCCCAGCACTTGAGGGACTGAGGCAGGAGGATCACCATAAATTCGAGGCCAGCCTGGGCTATATAGAGTTAAGGCCAGCCTGAACTACATAGCAAGACTGTCTCAAAAAAAAAAAAAAAAAAAAAAAAGCCTGCCGTGCAAGCTCAAGGACCTGAGTTCAATCCCCAGTACAAAAAAAAAAAAAAAAAAAAAAAAAAAAAAGTTTGTAAAAAAAAAAAAAAAAAAAAAAAAAATGGTTATTTTGAGTCAGAGTCTAGCTGAGTTTCCAAATTTCTGAAACTGTGCTTAAACTTTTGATCCTCCTGCTTTAGCCTCCCAGAGTGCTGGGATTACACACATGCATCACCAGGCCTGGCTTTGAATTCAGATCTTATTTCCTGAAGGAGGGTACTCTTGTTTTTATTTTTATAATTTACAAACCAAGTGGGCATCATCTTTGTTCCCAATTCTGGAAGACAGGTGTATTTAGTATGGATTACTTCCCTTTTTGGTTCTCTGTCTCTGTCTCTCTATTTGATATGTTTGGATACCAAGGGTGTAAGTGGCTAATATAATACATTTCAAGTTTATCTATTCAAATATGGCCTAAGGAAGACAAAAAAATTAAAGAGGGAAAATACTTTATTTCTCCTGGTACTCAGCAGGCTGAGGCACGAGTATCCCAAGTTTGAGGCCAGTCTGGACTACATAGGGAGTTTCAGACCAGACTGAACCACATATTCAGATCCTGTCTCAGAAAAACAAATAGATTAAAACACAGCAAACCTTGCTCCTATTACTTTTTAGTTGTTGTTGTTGTTGTTGTTGTTTAAAGACAAGGTCTCATTGTATTCTTGCTCTTTTGCCCAGGCTGGCCTCACAAACTTTTGGGCTCAAGTGATCCTTCCTGCCCCAGCCTTTCCTGAGGCTGGGACTACCGCCTCTGTACCACTGTGAGTAGCTGCTAGAATTTACTTTCTAATGTCAGGGGTAAGGTTGGCAGTTGGAAATCAGGGAAGTAATTAATTATGTGGAATAGGATTGTACCAGTGCAGTTTGAATTTTTGGTAGCTGACTGTGTAGCGTATATAAATTATCAAAGACTAGATTATCCTAAGGTATTACAAGTTGCTGTAGTCAGTATGAATAGTATTAATCACTTTTGCAGATGAAAGCAGAGACATTTTCATAAAATGAAAAATAGAAAACAGCTGGTAAATACGGGCCTGTCTGGAGTTTTTTTGAGGTAAACTGATGATCTTGAAAGATAAGTGCTTAAGTCCCTGGTAACAAAATTGAAAGTTTTAAAATTGTGTCCAAATCCTTTTATTTAGGTGACTAATAATAGGCATGCTTCACAAAGAATGAGTGAAGGATGTGTACTGAAAGTTTCTCATGTGTGTTGCCAAGAGTACTTTTAGGAAATGTGCCAAACTTATAGGTCTGAACTTTTATGTTCCTACTAAACTGCCCTATTAATCACTGAGATTATATCCTATAGTAAAACCTACTTTACAGTATTTATGTTTAGGGAAAATAATCTGGGTCACCTAGAATGGTTAGACCTGGAGGAAAAGTGATGTTTTCTCCACAAGGGCAGATTTATTTAGTTGGGCCTGTGCTATACAGCCTCTCTATTGACCATAGAAGTAATGCAGTTAAACTTTAAATAATAGAAAATTTTGACTTTGAAAAGAAGTTAGAAGTGCACATTTTAAACACACATTTACTCAATTTTCTTCTTGCCAGCTCAGGTAAAAAGCTTCTCAGCCAGATTCTCCAGTCTGGGACCCAGTTTGATTGGGATGAAAAGCATATCATTTATTAAACTTCAGAATTTTTCTATCATGAATAAGTTTTTGCAAAACAATATTTTTGGCCTTTGTGTTACATACTTTGTTTTTAAATTAAATACAGGAGCCAGTTGTAATGGCACATGCCTGTAATTCCAGTATTCTGGGAGGTTGAGGTGTGAGGATTGTGAATTTGAGCCTAGCCTGGGCATTTTAGCAATTTAGTGCCTCAAAATAAAAAATAAGAACTGGAGATGTAGCTCATTGTGAAGGCCCTGGGTTCAATCTCTAGTACCACCAAAAACAAAATACAAATGCAACCTGTAAGTTTATGTTGAAGTGGTATTTCTGAAGGTCTAGTATAGACTATAAATGTTGACTAGGATGCTATGTAGCCACATTGGGATTCTTGGACCTCTTCTTTTGCTTTTGTTTCTTGTGTTCTCTCTCACACCACATATGTACTTAGGTAGATTGGGTTCCCAAACTTCATTTATGAAACTAGTATAATAGCCAAGCATAGTGGCACACACATATAACCTCAGCACTTGGGAGGCTGAGGCAAGAGGGTCACCACAAGTTAAAGGCCAACCTGGGCTACGTAAAGAGTTCAGGGCCAGGCTGAACTACATAGCAAGACCCTTTCTCAAAAAAAAACAACAAAAAATTATATACATGTATGTATGTATGTATATATATATATATATATATATATATATATATATGATCTCACAACAAATATTGGGACACTTAGCACAATTATTATTTTTTGTTTTGTTTTATAAATGGGAACAAGGTTAAGAATACAGAGCTGATGAGTGGCCAAGGTTGGACTTGAGCCAGGTTTCTGTGTAAAAATCCATCATATTCCCTTCCACCAGAATGCTCACCCTTTTATGATAGAATGGGCTCAGCATATGGTTTAGGAACCCCAGTGCTGTTTAGCCTGGAAATCAGAAGATTTAGGTTTTCTTGTGAATTAAGACATTTTTGTGTGGAAAGAGGAGTGGGTTTATTTTTGTGTTGCTTTGGATAGGACTGTGAAAAATGGTAGCTACAGTTATGCTGACATTTAGGTTCCCTGTGTGAAAGTCTGCCCAGGAATGGAGGCCTGGCCTTCCATGTTACCACGTAGTAACCAAACTGGAGTGTCACAGGGTGGATGGCAGACTAAATTTGATTCTGCCTTGTCTTATCTGAGTCCTCTTAACACTTCTGCCCCTATTCCGTTGACTCCTCCCTGTGTACTCTGGTTTCTCTTAACTAGCTTCATGCCTACCCTCCCTTAAGCCATTCAGAGTTATAATTTTACTACATTAAATTATCTTTTTGGAGCTGGGCATGGTGGCACATTCCTGTAATCCCAGTACCCTGGGATGCTGAGGCAGGAGGACTGCATGTTCAAGATCATTTTAGGTATGGGTTGATGGAAGAAGGATCCTGGGGTTTGAACACAGGGCTTTTGCACTGAGCTACATCCCTAGCCCTTTTCATTTTTTTATTGTTTGTTTGTTTGTTTGTTTGTTTGTTTGAGACAGGGTCTCACTATGTAGTTGAGACTGACCTGGAACTCACTGTGTAGCCCAGGCAGGTCTTGAACTCATAGCAATCCTCCTGCCTCAGCCTCCTGAGTGCTGGTATTACAGGTGTGTGCCACCTGTATCTGGCTACCCTTTTCATTTTTTGAAACAAGACCTCACTAAGTGCCCCAGGCTGGGATCTAAATCAAGATCCTTAGTATCTCAAACTTCCAGGGTGCTGGAATTACAGGCATGTTCCATCATGCCCCGCTGGTATTTTTGTTCAATTGTTCATTTTTTTTTTAACCTTTGGAATTTCCTCATGACCCCCCCCCTCCTTTTTTTGTACTAGGAGAATTGAACCCTTAGGGCCTTTACACTGAGCTACTTTACCAGCCTTTTTTAAATTTTCTGAGACAGACTCACTGAATTGCCCAGGCAGAACTCAAACTTGGGATTCTCCTGCCTTACCTTCCTAGAGTGCTGGGATCATATAGCCATGTTCCACCACACCTGGTCTGTCCATTTTTTTTTTTTTTTAATAATAAAGTAACGCGAGCCAGATGTGAAGGGGTATACCTATAATCCCAGAAGCCTGGGAGGCTGAAGCAGAAGAATTGCAAGCTCCAGTGCAGTCTAGATAATTTAGCAAGACCCTGTCTCTAAATGAAAAATAATAAAAGGGTTGTGGGATCATATAGCCTTTCCACCACCCCTGGTCTGTCCATTTTTTTTTTTTTTTAATAATAAAGTAACGCGAGCCAGATGTGAAGGTGTATACCTATAATCCCAGAAGCCTGGGAGGCTGAAGCAGAAGAATTGCAAGCTCCAGTGCAGTCTAGATAATTTAGCAAGACCCTGTCTCTAAATGAAAAATAATAAAAGGGTTGTGGGTATAGTTAAATGCAAGGGTTCAGTCCCCAGTAACACACACACACAGCTTCAGTAAAGTACCATATAAATGTGTAATTTATAGTTGTTTAAATACTATTCCTAATTGAAAAATTAAGTGTCTGGTTTAGTTCAGTGGTAGAGCAGGTCCAAGGCCTGGCCAAAATCAGAAGCAAAAAAAAAAAAGTAAAACTGAAATTGAAGAATATATACTGTGGTAGTAGGACAGGGTGAAGATTTTCAAGATAAGTATGAGCTTCTCTGCTTAAAAACTAATGTCCTGTCTTTCTCACCCAAGGTTTATTTTCCTTAGCGTTTTTGCTCCCAGTTGCATGTGACTGCAAACTGTTGTATAGAGAAAGCTATGTACATACTTCATTTGCTGGCCAAAAAAGCTATAGGCTGCAAAAGGAGCAAGAAAGGTGATCAAGAGCAGAAATTGTGCCTGGGGACTGGAGGTGGTGTTCTGAGGAAGGATCATTAGAATTACCAATCACTAACATGTTTTCAGTAAGTCGTATGCTCAAGCAGAAGAGCTGTTCCCTCTCAAACACTTGATGAATTTTGCATTGTAGTGAGTGGTTTCTTTGTCTTTTGTACACATGCTTTGTTTTAAGGTTAATTCCCAGAAGCCTGGAATTTGGATTTTTTTTCTTTTACTTTTTCTTTTTCTTTTTGGTGCTGGGATAGAAGTCATACTAAATATCACTGAGTTTACTCCCAGGCTAGATGTTTATTGAACACGTCTCTAGGTTGGGCTGCATCAGAAGTAAGTTTAGGAGATTTGAGGTTATGGGAGAAATTGGTTGCTTTTAGGTGAGGGGAAGCCGGGAAATGAGAAAATAATCAAGGAGAATTCTTTTTGCTTAGGTACAATGTGATGTTCCCCTGATGTGCACACCCCACCTCCCGACCCCCGCATACTGAGGCTCAAACCCCAGGTTGTTCTACCACTGAGCTACGACCTTAGTTTAGCCCTTTTTATTTTTTAGTTTCAGACAGAGTCTAGGTCAGTTGCCCAGGCTGACCTCAGACTTGTGTTTCTCCTGCCTCAATCTCCACAGCAGCTGGAATTACAGATGGGCGTGCACCACCACACAGCATGACTCTTCTTTAGTGGTGCTGGGGTTTGAACCCGGGGCCTTCACATGCTAGGAAAATACTCTACCACTGAGCTGTATATCCTTAGGCCCCAGTACAATGCTTTTTAAAGTTGGAGGAGTGCTCTCTTCGGCAGCACATATACTAAAATCGGAACGATACGGAGAAGATTAGCATGGCCCCCACCCAAGGATGACATGCAAATTCGTGAAGCGTTCCATGTTTTTATGAATTAATAAATAAAATGTAAACTTTGTTAATTGTAAAAAAAATAAATAAATGGAGTTGTACTACTGTTGCCTGGAGCCTTTAGAGATAAATCATTGTGAATATATGAGTATTCCAGCTAACTAAGGATACTGCACAAATCTTACATTTTGTCTGATGTCCAGTGCTGCTCAGTCCTCCTAGTCCTCCCTAGAATACTCGTGGTGAGCAAGGAGGAGGACCTAGCTATTTTGAAGGCAACTCATTTGATAGAAGCACATTTCTTATTATTGACCAATGGTTAACTAATTGTGTCAGCTTGAGTAGGAAATGCCCACCTGAATTGGATCAGCACAGTGCTCAGTGTGGCTGCAGGGACCTCCTGAAGACAGACACACCCTAGGGAGGATGGTTGCCTAAATGGCACAAAGGGGAAGGAGA